AGAGCGACCCATTCTTTCACAAGTGTTTGTAGAAGCAGTCTGCATGCCTAAGTGCTTGATTTTATACACCTAAACCCATTGACTTGGGTGTTCTAATAATTTTGGAAGTTGTGTAGTAGCACATTCATAAATTACTTTCAGCTGTTTCAAGTAGACAATTAAAGGGCAGACTAATCTCATCTTAATCATGCTAGAGCAGCGGTTCTCAACCTGTGGGTCGTGACCCCTTTGGGGGTCAAACAACCCTTTCACAGGGGTCTCCTAAGACCATCGGAAAACACATTTCCGATGGTCTTAGGAACCGAGACACCACTCCTCTATCAGTCTCCAGGCGGGTCCGCCCACATGCAGATACGTCTACATTTCTCTGGACCGCAATGTGTGCGGGATGACATTCCACCCCTGTCATCTGGCCACATCCGGGATCACTCAACAGCTCCGCCTCCTCGCCAGTGATTGGCGCCAGAACTGTAGCTCAGGAGAGGCACACAAGTGGCCAATCACCAGCGATTGAGGAGGAGCCAAGCAGCAGCGCAAAGATCAAAGAATTTCGAGCAAGGGAGCAGCCGGAGAAGGAAGACAGCTGACAGGTAAGTGTCTGTAGCGTGCAGATGATGCTGCAGCCAGGTATGCTGGCTGTAGATGGGAGAGGGAGCGAGCCCAGGGTGGAGCAGGAGTCAGCAAGGTAAGTATCATTGGTGTCAGTGGGAGGAATAGTGCCCCAACGTTGGTGTCACCGATACCAACGATGGGGCACTATTCCTTCCTCCCCGATACCAACGATGGGGCACTATTCCTTCCTCCCCGATACCAACGATGGGGCACTATTCCTTCCTCCCCGATACCAACGATGGGGCACTATTCCTTCCTCCCCGATACCAACGATGGGGCACTATTCCTTCCTCCCCGATACCAACGATGGGGCACTATTCCATTCCTCCCCGATACCAACGATGGGGCACTATTCCTTCCTCCCCGATACCAACGATGGGGCACTATTCCTTCCTCCCCGATACCAACGATGGGGCACTATTCCTTCCTCCCCGATACCAACGATGGGGCACCATTCCTTCCTCCCCGATACCAACGATGGGGCACTATTCCTTCCTCCCCGATACCAACGATGGGGCACTATTCCTTCCTCCCCGATACCAACGATGGGGCACTATTCCTTCCTCCCCGATACCAACGATGGGGCACATTCCTTCCTCCCCGATACCAACGATGGGGCACCATTCCTTCCTCCCCGATACCAACGATGGGGCACTATTCCTTCCTCCCCGATACCAACGATGGGGCACTATTCCTTCCTCCCCGATACCAACGATGGGGCACTATTCCTTCCTCCCCGATACCAACGATGGGGCACTATTCCTTCCTCCCCGATACCAACGATGGGGCACTATTCCTTCCTCCCCGATACCAACGATGGGGCACATTCCTTCCTCCCCGATACCAACGATGGGGCACTATTCCTTCCTCCCCGATACCAACGATGGGGCACTATTCCTTCCTCCCCGATACCAACGATGGGGCATATTCCTTCCTCCCCGATACCAACGATGGGGCACTATTCCTTCCTCCCCGATACCAACGATGGGGCACTATTCCTTCCTCCCCGATACCAACGATGGGGCACTATTCCTTCCTCCCCGATACCAACGATGGGGCACTATTCCTTCCTCCCCGATACCAACGATGGGGCACTATTCCTTCCTCCCCGATACCAACGATGGGGCACTATTCCTTCCTCCCCGATACCAACGATGGGGCACTATTCCTTCCTCCCCAATACCAACGATGGGGCACTATTCCTTCCTCCCACTGCAAAATTACAGTTATGAAGTAGCAACGAAAATAATTTTATGGTTTGGGGTCACCACAACATGAACTGTATTAAAGGGTTGCGGCATTAGAAAGGTTGAGACCCACTGTGCTAGAGCTACACCCTTATTGCCATCAATAACACCCCACCCTCTTCTGTAGAGGTTCCTTTTGTTATGAACCATTTTCCAAAAAAAAAAAAAAAAAAATAATATATAGGAAATGGGTCAACAAACTGGAAATACCTTCCCCTGGAAGACCACCATTATTTTTATATCTTGCTTTCAAATGAGATGGGGCATCTCCCAAGTTGAGATGTAATCTATGCTATACAGCAGCCTTTTAACAGCATTATAGTAGACAGACCATCATGTCCCTTTAAATTTGATAAATGCAAAATAAAGAAGCCAGAGACCATCTGCAGATCACATATTAGTGTATTTTGGCAAATTGTACAAGGCAGTTTCAGAATGAGGTTTGTAATAAGTGCTAGTTTAAGAAAAGTGCAGCAGGAGATTCAGTGCAATTATGCCATGTTAACACCTTTTAAAGATTCATAACACCCTTTTACAAAAAATGGTAACACATTCAGAGTGCCTGGACATTCATTCTTGTTGGCATTCCGGAGTTTCTGGACGCTCAACGATCTGAGGAGCGAAAGGTCCCACCACCCAAGTCAAGGGGGTGTTTGCCATTACGTAGCTGAAAAGCTCATTCACATGATTGTGGACCTGAGTGACTTTTGCTCGGCTCTGTGCCAGAATATCAGCTGAAAGATCACCAAGTGAGCGAGCGGAGCGGAGGTGAATGAGGTGTGCAGTTCTTGTACATTCTGCCGCAGCTGCTGCATGCGCTCCTGGATGTTGGCTGGGAGGCCTTGAGCCCCAGATATCAAGGTGAAGCATGTTGTCTGAAGCTGTTTAGTCATAATCTGTGTCATGCTGAGCACTCTGGAGTCAAGAGCCTGCAAAAGAAAGGACATTCATTTTGTTCAAAGAATTAAGAAATTGACATCAAAGCAAGTCTTATGGCATAGCTTTTCTAGAAGACCAGTGGGACAGAAAAAGACCATTAAAGTGGTTCTAAAGACAAAATTCTACCTTTCATTAAGGAAAAAAAAAAAAAAAAAAAAAAAAAAAAAAAAAAAAAAAAAAAAAAAATATAGGTATTGGAATCCACCCCCTTTACTTACCTGAGCCTTTATATAATCCCACACTGCACATCTGCAGCAGTTCTCTCCACTCACTTCTGTGTCTTGCTGGGCCACAGGGAGCCAGTGGCTCCCAGCACTGTCAAAGCCAGTGATGAGGGAATGGGGTCAATTCCCACTGTAAATGGGTACAGCAGCAGGGCTTAGAAATGAGCATGCATGAGTGCCCCCCATGGGGGCAATAAACAGTAGCCAGAAGCACTGGTGGGGGACTGAAGACTTGCCAGCTCTTTGCAATTACATTATAAATTTGTTTTACCCCCCCCCCCCAAAACACACATGTATGCTCTCCTGTTCTGTGCAATCACTTTAAGTAAAACTCCAGCACTGTCCCTCTTGATCCAGCACTGTCCTGCAGTGGCTGTGTGCTCTCCCTCTTGAAAGGACAGCAGCAGAAGTTATTTGCTCCTGCCAAATCCTGTAATGAGGGGTGTGTGACCAGGGGTGGACTGACAACTCATGGGGCCCCTGGGCAATAGGGGATCATGGGGCCCCTGTGTCCTTGCTTAAACTCAAAAAGGCCTATGAAGGAAGGGAAAAAAAAAAAAAAAAAAAAAAAAAAAGTGTACCGGAGGCACCTCATGGGGCCCCCTACTGACCCCAGGCAGTGCCCAAGTTCACAAATGCCCCTGGGTGTGACTGAGTTGCAACATGTCTATGATAGACAGAGGGTAGGTGTGCCCCAAAGCAGCCTGCCAGCTTGCTTATGTGGCAGTTCCAGAAGAGGAATGAACAGCATGGTGGGGATCCCAGAAAATGCAGAGTGGTTAATAGGTTTTTAACAGGTATACGCCTTTGCCACCACTTCAATACACAAGTATTGAATGACAGTGCCATGAGCACAAACACTCACTGGCCACCATTTGGTACACCTGTTAAATTGTTAACTGATTAGCAATTTGTTACCAATCACATGGCAGCAACTGATTACATTTAGAGTCTAGATGTGGTGAAACCTTTAAGTCCAAACAGAGCATAAAAAACCCCACAGTAAAGCATGGGCTAATTTGCTCCTGCAGGGAAAAAAAAAAAAATTCCTTCCTGATCCTGAGAGGCAAAGTGGATATTCCCTGGATCAAAGTAACAAATTGTTGCATTTGCAAAAATTGTTTATTTTCAGCCAGATTTGATTTTTTCTAATTGATTCAAATTGAAATTCATAGTGCAGAATAGCTGGTTCTCTTACTTGAAATTAGAATTTTGGAAGACTTCTATTCAATAATATTCCAACACTAATGCAGTCTTTGAAGGGAGTCAACAATATGTTTAGAATTAGATTTCAGAACACACAACACACACAATACTCTGGACTGTCCACTTTCCAAAAGGGGTTATTGGGGGATATTTGTAATGTCCTGGCATTTTGGGGCCTCAAAGATTGGCTCAGTACATCAGGATTGATCAATTTTCAAATGCATATTGTTTGTAGACAAACTCAGACCAAATACAGATTTGATTTACTTTTACCAAGGAAGTGCAGCTGAATTATGGCCTACATTTAAGATTAAGGAAAAAAAAAAAGTTTTAAAAATTGTATTTGGTTTATATAGCAAATAACACAGTGGTGATTAAGTACCAAAAGAAAACTTTGAAGAAAAGATTTTGGGTACAGAGTAACTTTACCAAGCAACTGGCAGTTATAGAGCAGTGCTGAATAGCAAAAATTGCCTGGTCAAGAAGGGTAAACTCTTCTGGAGGTAAAGTGGTTAAAATACATAGTAGGGAAGCTAGCCCTCCAGTACACCAATTGGCCCATTTCCAGAATATGGCAACCAGTAGGCAAAAAAGATGCAAGTCTTCATAGCTGCCTGGGATATTATCTGGGCAGTGGAGGCGTCTTCAAGGTTCCTTGTGGCACTTCTCAGCCCTGGGTCACCTGATTTCTCCAACACTTTAGGTGTGGCTGGTTTACATTCATATCACTAAATGTGCTGGATTTTCATTTCATCTGAAATTTGTTGGTTTGTTACAGATGCACACAGTACCTGGAAGGACTACTTAGTTTACCATGTTCATATAAAGCAATACAAATCACAGGTCTCAATCCATTACCTGTTCTTCGCCATCTGTGGATGTTCCTGCTTTGGCGCACATAGTAACTCTGCTGCTCCCTCTGCTGCTGCAATGGTGCAACCTCAAACCCCTCTACAGCGGATGCAAGCTGAGCTATAAAGGAAAAAAAAAGTCAAAGACATTACAAGCCAAACATTTAAATAAGGCAACAGGTAAACACTGTGTTTGCCTTCAGCCAGGTAACAAGACCCGTGTACATAGTTTCATGTGTAGCCTTTGGGATAAGAGCTCTTCACCAATTCTTAAGGACTACATTACATCTATTCACACAATCTTACAGCAAATCTGTACCCATTAAACATTTTACATGAACTTTAGCTTTGAGTAGTTTTTAAATTGAATTTAGAGCCAAGAAAAAAAAAAAAAAAAAAGTCTCATTGTGGTAATTAGATCCAGGTGGAACATCCAGCAGAAAACTGTCTATAGGATCAGGAAGTAGAGTCCAGGATGTGCCTGTGCATCAAAAATGAAGCTTGGAGAGCAGAGTCAGATGGAGGAGGTGTGGGGGGGGGGTCTGAAGGAGCCTATTGAGCATGCTCTGAAATGCATTACCGGCACTTCACCTCCTCTGACTGCTCTCCAAGCTTCATTTTTGATGTACAGACACATCCTGGACTAATTCCTGATCCTATAGACAGTTTTCTGCTGGATGTTCCACCTGGATCCGATTACCACATAATGAGTCTAACTAAAGACTAGGCACCTTCCTCTGCTCTAAGCTGCCTCATTGTTGCTGCTCCCATCCATCCCTGATGTCCATCTGGCACCTTCATCTTACAGCTACAGGAGGTTGGGCTCCAACAAGCATGCCATATATAATACATTTTCAAAGCTAAAGCCATCTGCAAAAATAAAAATTTAAGTATGCAAAAATCCACATAGGGATGAAACCATGCTAAAAGTGCATTGTTGCATCCCTACCATGTGGATTTTGCATACTTTATACAGAGAGTACTGATACTTGCTAATATGAATACCTGCCAGCAACATTTGCCCACTCAGTTGAAAGGGTTCCCCTGCTGACAGCTGAAGTGTAATTGGTTGTCAAGGACCTGGCCAGCCTTGCTAATTAACCACTTCAGCTCATATCTGTTTACCCATTCTATTCCAGACCAATTTACATTACTACAGACCTGTTTATGCTGTGATAACTCAAAAAGTGGTATATAAAAATATCTTTAAGACAAACAAGGCTCTGTGTGTACCCTGTTCTGGGTCCCCCCCCAAACCCTTACCTGAGCCCCCTTCAATCTAGCAATGTTCATGAGAGCCTCTGCGCTATAGGGACGCCCTCATTGGGAAGAAAGCAGCATGAGGCCATTGACTCCTGCCAGACAGTGAGCCAGTTAGGACAGTGGGGTGCCAAGCCACAGCTCTGTCTTATGAATGCATAGACCAGCAGCTCGGAAGGAGCACCCATCTGTGCGCCCAGAGCAAGTGGCTCTGCTTGAGGTGGAGGTGGTAAGTAACACCTTAACACAAGGCTTTTAATACCACTTTAGAGCAATACTAAAGGCTTAAATTCTCTAAAGAGAATGTCCCCTTACCTGTCATGTGCAGAGCAGCCTGGATCCTCTTCTCAGGTCCCCCATAGGCTCTTGGCCCCTCCCACCCGTCAGGTGCCCCCACAGCAAGCAGCTTGTTATGGGGCACCAACTGCTCCATGTGTCCAGGCACATGTAGCTGTGGCTTGGCTCTGACCCCCTCTTGGCAGAAAGGAGCCAATGGCTCCTGCTGCTCAGCCAATGAGGGGTTAGTCCTGGGATAGCAGAGACACCAGGGCACACTGCTGGATCAAAGGGGGCTTAGGCGAGTATTGGTGGAAGGGCCTTTGTGTATAGAATGCATGAGGGTAAAAACCTTGAGGCTTTACAAACACTATCTATAAACCCACAAAAAAAAAATAAAATTGACAAGTGTTAAATAGTTTCTGTACACAAGTGCACTTTTCTGCAACATGTGCAGTTTTAAAATGACAATTATAATTGTTATAAAGCACAAGTTTAAATGATACTTTTGCACTTTTGTCAATGTGAAAGGAGTAAAACAAAAAAAAGTTTAAATTAAAAAAAGTGGACATTAAGGAGTTAATTCAGGCAGATGTGTAAACTAACAGTTAAGGGGTTTTATTATCAGACTGATCTGCAGACTAAATCAGTTAAAAGCAATCTAAGTTCACCCCTTTGGTCTGTAGATGAACACAAGGTTACAAAATGAAACCATGTTATCCATATATTTTAGTGGTTGAGCACTGCACAATGCATCAGACTACAGGAAAGAAATTTTAACACTGAAAGGGGTGCTTACAGTGAGCAGCTTTTAAGTAAAACCTGTATCCTATGAGGTAGACAGTTTGCTGTAACTGCTACGAATGAGTTGGAATTTGGCTTTAATTTGTTAGTGTATTTAAATCTACTAGTCCAACACTTCTTCCCCTCAGAAGAAGCAGTTGTCCAAAAGGTGCTCCCTCATCTAGAGTGGGGGGCACTAATACAGGCTGTGTTGTACTTTTGGCCAGGTGAAGACAAGGGAGCCCAGGGGTGGACTGACCATTTGGAAACTCTGGCACTACCTGAGGTCAGTAGGGTGCCCTGTGAGATGCCCCTGGTACCTTTCATAGGCTTTAGAGTTTGGGCAAGGACACGGGGGCCCCCCCCATGAGTTGTCAGTCTGCCCCTGGGGGAGTGGAAAGAGTAATGCAGCCACCACATCATATTGCCAAGCTGCAATATATTTTTGTTTTGGGTGTATTACCACTTCGCCATTTACATGCAGCTTAACTTTAAACAGATGAAACCTATGCAAGAAAGTTACTTTTCTGATGAAATCAGACTTTACATTTGTGTCCAGTTTTGAATATTACAAATACTCTGCAGCAGGGGAGGGGGATCTGATTCTCTATTGCTGTTAGTCAGGGCTTGTCCCTCTCCCATTCTGACTGGACAGGGAAGGGAGAAGCAGCACATGACTGCACCACCACATCAATTGGCTCCCCCACCACATTAGTGATTAGCCTCCCCAAAAAAGTTTTAATGCCCCCACTATATATGCAGTCTGACTGGTGCTGTTACTTACACAGTTCCTCATCTGTCAGGGGAAGGTAATGATCAACCCATTCCTCAGTTTTCCATAACACTGTATCTACTTTGCTGGTCACAAACTGTCCCACGTGAGACTCCATCACTGTTGACACTGCAGATCGAGTGGCATTAATGCTGCCCTGGATGGCTCCTGTTGCCAGGCCCATGACACCAGACATAGCACCAGATACTGCACCAGTTACAGTATCCCGAGCACCTGTCACAGTGCTTGTAACTGCACCAACAACTACATCACGAGCTCCTGTCACCAGAGACTTTGCATCCGATACCACCTGTAGAAGAAAAAAAAAAAAAAAGTCCTCAAAAGTGCAAAGTATTTAGTGGTTTTGGTAGACCCAAGACTTCATATTTTGCTCCTCACTGTATCCTTGCCCAACAAAATGTTTCCTCCCTTGGCAATGGTAGGATGAACACTATTCTGCTTGCCTGACTGCACACTTCCCAGCTTTGGCTATGATAGAACAATTCATAGCTTTGCCCAGCTGTAGGGTTCCTCCTTTGGCAATTGTATTTTGTTTGTATTTTCAGCCAAATCAGGGAAGCATGAAGTCTGGCAATGTGTTGGTCCTACCATTGCCACAGGAGGAAACAGAACAATCCATATCCTTGCCCAACTCTTTCCTCCCATGGCAATGGTAGGACCAACACTTTTGTTTGCCAGACTGCACGCTTCCCTGATTTGGCTAAATATAAACTGTTTGTCCTACCATTGCCAAGGGAGGAACCCTACAGCTGGGCAAGGATATAAAAATTGTTCTCTCATAGCCAAAGCCAGGAAGTATGCAGTCAAGCAAAAATACAAAGTGCTGGTCTTATTGCCGGGGGGGGGGAACCCTACAGTTGGGCAAGGATACGAGTTCCCATTATTGCCTGACCGCACAGTTCCTGATTTGGCTATGATGGAACTCATATCCTTGCCCAACTGTAGGGTTCTCCTCCCCTCTTGGCAATGGTAGGATCAGCACTTCATATTGCTTGCCTGACTGCACACTTCTCAACTTGGGGAAAAAGGATATGAATTTTCTATAATGGCCAAACTGTAGGGTTCCCCTTGGCAATGGTAGGACCAACACTTTTGTATTCTGCTTGCCTGACTGCACACTTCCATGCTTTGACCATGATAGAACAATTCATATTCTGCTTAGCCCACTAAGCTTTTCTAGTGTGGCTTGCCAAGTTAAATTGCTCCTTTTCAGTGGAAGCAGAGAACAGGCCCTTATGCAGCAGATATTCACTAATCAGCTCAGGGTTCATAAGAAAAAAAAAAAAAGCTGATAATCACAAGCCAACTTCAGCTGCATGATAAACATTAGACTTTGCTTTGTTTTATCTGAAAAACAAGCAAACACATACCACTGCTGCAGGAAATGCAGTTGCAGGTCTGTTGCCCACCAATCTAGCAAGTGATAAACTGTTGCAAGAAGCAGTTGTGGCACCACACAAGCCATCCACTCATTTTATACTCACTGGGCAGCTACAGCAGGTGAAGGTGATGAAGTCAGGTTAGCATGAAAGTGACAAAAAGTTTTGACAGTTTCATTATGAAGTTTAATGACTGCCATAAACAGTTCATAAAAAATTTACAAGCCATTTTAAAGCAAATAGCTACAACGTTGTTTGTTTTGTACACTTTGGTTATTTGCACAACTCAATTGACCTATGAACTGAGAAGAGGGGGCTTTGAAGTCCAACATGAATCTGTATTAATAAAACAGATTTGTTAGCCAGTTGACGTCCAGAAGATTAACTCTTTTCTTGAGCAGGCCATTTTCTGCAATACTTCACTTACATTTAACTGACAAAAATTGCAGTCATGCAATGCTGTACCCAGGGGTGGACTGACCAGTCGAGCACTGCCCAAGGGCCTGGGGTCAGTAGGGGGCCCCATGAACTGCCTCTGGTACCTTTTATATGCTTTTTTGGGTGTGGGCAAGGACACAGGGCCCCATGATCCCCTATTGCCTGGGGGCCCCATGAGTTGTCAGTCCACCACTGGCTGTACCCAAAGATTTAGGCATTCCACCCCACAAAGCTTTTATAGTGGTATTTGATAACCTCTGGGCTTTATTTTTTCCCCCACTGTGGACAAATTATTTACTTCCTACATAAGGATTTAAAAAACACCAAATTGCTTAATTTAGGTCAGTATGTATTCTGCTGCATATTTTTGGTAAACAAAATCCTAACTGTTCACACAAAAAGAAAAGTTTTTTATAATAGTAATAAGTAATCAGTGACTTATAGCAGTACTTGATTGGCAGACACTGGCTAGGATTAGATCAGATTTTCTAATTAGTGGGGTCAAATTGATGTTTGACAGCAGTGATGGGAATATTCAAAGGGACAGGAAAGAAAACTTCTCAAATTTTTCACTGGAGATAGTTTAGAAGTTACATTAATTTTAAACTCAAATGTTTAAAGACATTTAGGTGTCAGTTTAAGAACCAGCAGTAATAGATCGCTGCTCAGTTCTCCGGCATTCTCGGAGAACACAGTTCTCCTGTGAATGCCGTTTATGAAGCATATGTAGATCAGTTCTCCAAACGAAGGGAGAATGGTCTACAAACACTGGAAAATGGCTGATTTTACTATAAATCGAGAGATTACAGTAAAAGATCAGTTTACTAAGCAGAGGTAAATTCCCTGCTTAGTTTGCGGTCCCTCCGATTCTCCAGCTCTGGGCTGGAGAATCTGGAGGGAGAACAGATCTCCAGAGAAGGGCTGAACATATTCTCCTGGGTGTCAAACTGTGAATGACCAGAGAATAGCTGTGATCCTCTGAATCGCAGCTATTCTGTGTGTCATAAACAGATACCTTATTCACCAAAATGTTCAAAGAATTTGTCCAAAAACCTAAACGGTTATGGCCAGCTTTACAATACATCTTCCAGCTGACTGAAGGTTTAATCGGCTACATGGACAAGGTCTTCACTCTACTCCCTTGGTCAACACTTGTGACCTGCAAGAGAATACATACTTGTGCTGCTCCTCCAACCAATTTTGAGCCCTGATATGTGCATAGCTGGAGCCAAGCAGTCTTGTGGCACAGAAATGCAGTTGACAGTCATGTTTCAGAGGATTGATACAGGGTTACAGGGATTGATACATTTACTAAACATGGTGCACTCAGAATCTGGTGCAGCTGTGCATAGTAGATCAGCTTGTTCAATGAAGCTCTGCCAATAGAACCTGGAAGCAGATTGTTCCTATGCAGAGCTGCATTAGGATTTTTCACTCCAGCTTTAATAACCCCCACTGTGCCCCCAGCAAAAAACCTGGACAATCGCTTTGCTGGAAACTTCAGTGGCAGACACCAGTCAGACCTTTAGTGCTGGAAATGCACATTCCATGCCCCACTCTGCAAAAAGCCAGAAGTGAGTAGAGCAAGCACTAGCTCCCACTTCCTGGGTACCATTTAATAAAACTATGAAATGTATAAAAAAGTGGCAATTCTGCATCAGTTTAAAAGACCAAAAAGTGAGTAAGCAAAGACACTCAAAAGCATTAAGTCCATGTGGTTGCCTCACTTGACTTTGACATGCCAGTCTAATCCAAAAAGGAAGCTTTCAGAAGAGGAAATTGTTCGTGTAGTAGGCACTTACCTTCTCAGCTGGTTGATTGAGAATAGGCAGAGTTGATTCCAATTTATCCAGACCTTTGCAAGCCAATTCATTAGCTGTTGCAACTGGAAGAAAAAAAAAAAAATTTAACAAGCCTAATCCATTTGGAACAAACACTCTTTGGGCATTAGAATTTAAACACTCACTGACTTTATCTCAGACCAAAATAAATAAATAAAACCAACCCTACAGAATTCATGCTACTTAATGAAGAGCTGACAAGGTGGTAGTTGAGGTTCCTCTACCAGAGACACTGGTTAAGGTGCTCTGCTCCCAGTCCTTCAGCCAGAGAGATTCACTAGTGAAAGGCTATGCTGAGCCTACATTATTCAATAAATGTTTTACAACAGTGTTTCAACCTTTTTTTCAGTCAAGGAACCCTTTAAAAAAAAAAAAAAAAAAAAAAAAGCCAAAAAATTTGTTGTAGGACACCCAATGTATCCTAACAAAGCAGAAACACTGATACTGACTAGTATTCCGATGTTTGTCCTCACATCGGTTTTTCCATCACTGAGCTAATGTGAACACAGCACTGATGGGAGAGGGGGAGGGTCAAACAAGGATGCTGTGAAGGCAACCAACATCCTCCTTAATCGAATGATGTCACTAGTTGTCAAGACAAATGGTGGTTAGGTCAAAATGAAAGCCTGTGGCTTTGTGCAAGTAGGCAGGCTTGTAATAAACATTTTGGGCAATAGACATTTTGCCAAGGCATCCCTGAAGAAACCTCAAGGCACCCTGAGGTGCCTGGGCACCCTGGTCAAAAAGGTGTTTTACAGATTGCTAGTATTTGAGGATGATCCTGAACCAAAAAGCCTAGCACAGCAAGTTGAGAACAAGCACATTGTACCTTTAGGGACAAGAAACACCCTTTACTAAAAGGCATTTAATATGATGGAAGGAAAAAAAAAAAAAAAAAAAAGTTGGCTCACCAAGATTTCTACAAATTTCTTTCCTTCCCCAAAACTAATAGAGCAAAAAACAATCGAAGCTATTAGGACAAAACCCATCCTTGTGAGGAAGATTACTGAATGCAGAGCTACCTTGACCCCTAAAGAAAGCCCTGCAAAGATTTAGATTCCCCATGGTTATCACCGATTGGGTCACACCTATGGACTGGATTGTGATACAGTTTTGCTTTTTAAAAGGCCAGGGGTCAGTTTTACCCATTTAAACTTAAGGTTTAGTTTTTAATGCTGGAAATTTCACTTTATCACTGCAAACATCACTTACTTTGTGGCTCCAGCCTGCTTAAGATGGGCTTTGATCCAGTGACTGCAACCCCAGTTAAGGTCTTGGCTCCCATCTCTGCAACATCGCACACGCTGCGGATGTAGGGGTGACTGTCCTTGGTAGAGGTGTACACTCCGCTGACCAATGTGCAGGCTGTGCTCACTAGAGGTATATTGGCAACACGTTCCACAACATTCTAGAAAGAAAAAAATATAAACTGACTAACCAAAAACCTGCAAAACAGATTGTCAAATCAATTAGGGTAGAGAAAAAAAAAAAAAAAAAAAAAAAAAAAAAAGCTTAAGTAGAGGGGTAACCTTGAGTGAAAGTCAGTAGTAGATCTAAAGCCACAAAACTGAACAGCACAACCACCAACCCAACAAAACCACCACAAGAAGTTTGTCATTCAAGACTCACCTTGATGCTACACCAGTCTGATGCTGCAACTGTCCCCCCACCAGCTTTGAGAACTGAGCAATCACATAAATTCTGATAATGTCAGTCTGCTTGGAGCAGAGTGGTAATTGTCAGTCACTGCTCTGCCCCTCCAGTACTCACTGGAGTACTAGACAGGGGAGGGAATGTGAGCAGCTGGCTGTGTCAGACCAAAAGGCTGAGCCAGCTGCCAATCAGGCATCTGGGTAGATCCAGACAAAATGGTAGTGATCCCTCCAGGACCTGGGGGAGCAGCTCTGACAACCAACAGTGGGCTTTAGTCTTTGCCAATTCTGGGTCACAAGAGAGCAAACAACTGCACTGTGACCCAGAAGTGAAGTATACACACACTTTGACCATACTAAACTAAAGCCTGACCCCTCCATCCCCTGTCCATTTGACAAGCTTTACATGACTTTTAAAAAAAAGGAGTGGTTTGCTGTTCAATCCTGTCAACTGACAAGCACATTGCTCCACAACATTTGGAATAATGGGTAGAACCACAGCAATTTGGCCCAAAATTCCAAATTGTGAAGTGTAAATAGAACCTTTAAAAAAAAAAAAAAAAAAAAAGAAAGGGAAACAAAACTTGAAGTTAAAGGTCACCATTTCCAGATCATTTGGATATATGGTTTCCACCAACAACCTCTGCTTAGGAACTTCATTCAAGCTCTCTTGCATCATCAAGACTCGTGACAGTTGCACATACAAAACTCATCTGCAAAAACCTACAAATGTTGAATGTGAGTAACAAACTCTAGATCAGTTAAATACATTGGAAAGATATTAGAAACAGTCATTGCATTTTTACCTGATTTGGCCCCATGGCTACAGAAGTAGTTCTAGCAAGCCATTTGTATATGAAAAAAATCCCTGATTTTTTTAAATTACATTGTTCCAGCTTGACCAATAAATGTGCATATACCATACATGTGGTCCCTCCCTCTCAGATTCAAGGTGCAGAGGCAATGAAGTCTATGCTGTCCAATCAAAATGCTTTAAATTTGAGAAAACCAAAGTATTTCCCAACTGATGACCACACCAAGCTGCCAACCTCTTGTGTTGACAATGAAGGAGAGCATTTGCTCAGCACAGGACCCAGAAGCAAGCCAAGATCAGTGGTTGTGGTGTCTACTTCAGCGATTTTCAGCTTTCAGAGGAATTGTCCAGGTAGGTCATATACATAGTTACTCTGGACCAATGTAACCAAGTACAACATGCTGATGCTTGGAATTCTTTAAACATTCTTACTTTTATCCCAGCACAATGCAGAAGGACAGCAGCTTGGGACCTGGAAGCTAGTGGAGATCACTGGAGTAGCTGTGCCCAATACCATGACTTTCAGCTTCTAGGTAGATCCCACAGATACAGAATGTACATTGGTATAAACTGGACTATCTATGAAATTATGCATATATGGAATTGACTGAAGACTAATAGCAAGGTCTGCCTACAATTATCAGTCCGATTACTATAAAGACTAAACCGCCCCCACCCCATATAACCAAACATGAAAGCCAAAGCAGCTGCTTGGACAAGCAGTGATGGGTCTCTCAACACAGAAGCCCAGATGAATGACCTACTAGCTATACCATGGCCTGTACAAGAGGGAACCTTTACAGACACGCCCAACAGGAGAAGCTGGAAGACAAAGGTGGGCAAGAACATTGCTTCCAGGTGGATGGAAACAGCTAAGTATTATGGTGGGAAGATCTGGCTGTTGGGAGTGTCTAGGACACGGGTGTCAAACTGGTGGCCCTCCAGCTGTTACCAAACTAAAAGTCCCACAAGGCACTGCAAGATTGACAGTTACAAGCATGACGCGACTTAAGATAGATGCTTATTTAACTCAACAGGCACCATCTAGAATCAAAATCTTTTGCGTTGACTTTCCTTTAAACTCATCACCTCCTTCCACAAAATGAAAATAGATTCAACAGTAGGATGCTTATCTTTTGGACACCTTCCAGGCACTACAACTGACCCAGCTTGGCAGATGTGTAGGAAATACTGCTGACTGCCTTAGACTGGTTGTAAGCATGATATTCAGATAGTTTCCTGCAAGGACATGCTGTGATCTACAGATAGCAGATCATAAAGGAGTTATGTTGCCCTTACATTGGAAGCAGAAAATCCAGGTAGTCTAATAAAGTTGGCTTGCATACAGTCTTTGTTTGATCACCAGTAGACACCCCCTTCTGCTAAAGTTGGAGGGGCACACTTTAGTATACAAACTTGTATGCTCGTGCATTCTGAAGGCACACATTTGAGATGTTGAGCCTACAAGTCTGTAGGTGGTCAGATTTGGACCCATTTTGTCTTAATGGGCCAATTGGCCAAAATTCCTCATTTATATTTGCCTGGAGATCAGCTTAAGGATAGCAACACCATACAGAGAGGTTCCCCAGTCCAAGAGACATTTGTGGGTTCTCTACACCAAACACTATTTGCTCATGGTGGACCAACCCTTTACGGCAACATCCAAACAATCAAACAGACTTCTGTTATTTATGGTCTGTCACCAGAAATGATTGCAAGTTTTTAATTTCAGCTTACAGATCCTCTAATACACAATAGAGATGTCTGTTTACAATGTTACATAGGGTCTGTCACCTGGAATTATGACCTACTGTATAAATATACAGATTGATACTTTCCAGGTGACAGACCCTTTGTAACACTAACTGGTCATCTGTATTGTGCATTAGAGGATCTGTCACCTGGACTTGTGAATTCAGCAATACACACTTGATTCTTATCCCCAGGGGACAGATCCAACACATGACTGATAAAATGCAAAATCCTAAACACTGATGTACAAAGCTGTCCATAATACTGCCCCAAACTAACTCACCGACCAGATATCCAAATACCACCCAAAATGCACCCTCCGCTCCACAGTTCCCTAGTCTCCTCCCATGCCCGCCTCCAGGATGTCACCCATACTCTGGAACTCCCTACCCCAATCCATCAGACTATCATCTACTCTCTTCTAGGCGCACTTGAAAACCCACCTCAAGGAAATCTACCCCACCCCCTGCTAATTCCCGACCTCCAATCTTCCCACCAATCCATCCCCCACAGCTATTTCCTCCTGTACCACTATCCCCTCCAAGGAGCAGGGCCCTCGAACCCCTTGTGTATCGTATTGTTATTGTACTGTCGCATGTTCTGTCCCCCATTGTAGTGTACAGCACTGAGTGAACTGTTGGTGCTTTATAAATACTGTATAATAATGACTAGTTACAATGTTACACAGGACCTTTCACCTGGAATTCTGAATGTCTCAATGTAAAGCTGGATACACCTGTCACCTGCATTCTGTTACAGTAATAAATTCATAATTCCAAGGGGAAACCTGCAACATTGTAACCAGTCATCTGTTTGAAGAGAATGTCTCCCTAGGGATTAGAATCAAGGGTGTATTACAATGTTACATCCATAACTACAGGTAACAGATCCTCTAATACACAAAACAGATGACTGGTTACAATGTTACACAGGGTCCTTCACCTGGAATTATAACGAACATACCAAAACACAGATGACTCTCCTAGGTGATCAATCCTGTGCAACATTGTAACCAGCGGCGTATCAGAGTACTTACCAGGAAACAAACAAGGAGTTTGCCTGGGGCAGCAATTTTTTGGGGGCCATGCTGTTCCCCCACCCTGCTGTCATAAGATAGCCGCTTCCCCTACAAGCTCATCTGAACTGCCTGCTTCCCTGCTCCTGCACACTGGGCCAATTCACCTGTCCCCCCCTGCAGGAGCAAGCCGTCCCCTTGGTTGGAGTTGAGAACCTGGTTGCCCTGGCAGTCATGTTCATGCTGAGGTACAACTCGGCCCCATCCTCTCTGGAGCCACTCTTCACTAAACACCGGCTGGAATTCTTTTGAGACTGCAAGGAGGCTGGGGGGAATTTAGTGCTGCCTAGGGCAGGACAAGGAGTAAATACACTGATTTTAACCAGTCATTTGTGTATTAGAGGATTTGTCCCCTGGGGATAAGTCATTGTGTATTGTTACAGCCATCATTTCAGGTGACAGATCCTAATTCAAAGGGTAACATTGTAACCAGTCATCTGTGCATTAGAGGATTTGTCCCCTGGGGATAAGTCATCTGTGTATTGTTAGTCATTTCAGGTGACAGATCCTCTAATGCATAATAGAGATGACTGGTTACAATGTTACATAGGGTTTCCCTGTTGAATTAGGAACATTCCTGTAACAGATAACTTCTTCCCAGGTGACAGACCCCCATGTGACATTGTAACCAGTCGCCTTTTATGCATTTAGAGCAGGGGTGGGCAACTGTGGCCCTTCAGCTGTTGTAGAACTACAAGTCCCATGAGGCATTGCAAAACTGACAGTTACAAGCATGACTCCCAAAGGCAGAGGCATGATGGGACTTTTAGTTCACCAACAGCTGCCCACCCCTGATTTAGAGGATCCATCACCTGGAGTGATGAACATTGTAACAATACACAGATGACTGGTTACAATGCTACATTACTCATTCCAGGGGATAGATCCTTTAATACACATGACTGGTAACAATGTTACATTCATCATTTCAGGTGTAACAGGTCACCAGAATGATTAATGTAACAAGACAGATGACTGGTTACAATGTTACACAGGATCTGTCACCTGGGAATAAAGGTGATCTGTGTATTGTTACATTCATCATCCCAGGGGATGGATCCTCCGATGCACAATACAGATGACTGGTAACAATGTCACATACGATCTGTCACCTG